TACTTGTTAGTAGTACGAGATATTATATATATATATATATATATATATATATATATATATACACACACATGAAAATGTTATCAAAATACTTAGAAATCACACAAGGTAACCTGCTGAAATATACTAAAATCTTGTTGTTGTTTTTTTGACAAAATCACCACTTTATCCAGTTATACCCTACCAATGTTTCTATACAAAAATACTTAATCAAACATTACTGGATGATGATATAAGATCTCTGAAATATCTTGTTTTAAAATTATTAAATTCACTTTTTAGTTAGTATAACAACATTATTACTAATATTAAAATGTATGTTCACATTTCATCCCATTTCTTCAGCTTGATAAACATTCCTTCATAAAGCTATCAGGAATGAAATCTTTTTAAAAAAATTGAAAAAAAAATGAGGAGGGGGACACTGTAGGAATGGACATAAGTTCACTTCTTTAAGTATCAATTCAATAACCAAAGAAAAATACATAATGGTTACTGTTTAATAAACTGCACACATATACTACTATAAACAGTAAAGCTTGTTTAAAAAACATCAATTTTAAGCCTCTTCATCATTTCAGACAATGAATAAAATATAAAACTGTTTTGCTAATAAGCAGGAATATCCAAGATTTAAAGATATCTTTGGCACCAAGATTCATCTTAGTTTCTTCCTTATAAACTAAAAGTAAAGAAAAAAAAAGACAATAAAGTGCATACATCTTTCGTTAATAAGATGGAAATTAAAAATAACATTAAAACATGAAAATAAAGATGAACTAAAAAAGCAAATATACTTTGCTGCTTCTCTATAAGTTTCAATGGCATTACACTTATAAACGTATTATTCCTTTCACTGCTCTATCTCTTCTGTCCTCGAGTTTTATCACTATAGAGATTCAGAGAATAAAGATTTGTTCTGCCTTTCTGTCCGATAAGATTCAGTTAAATGGGATTCTTATTTCTGTAATGGTGCTCTATTCTTGAGTGTTACTAGTAGAAGGCTCATTTTCATGAGGATTTATTTCTGTTGTGATGCTCTGTTCTAAAATGGTACTACCAGAAGGTTCAGTCTGGGGAGGTTTTTTCTGGGATCTATTTCTTTGTTCTTGAACACTGCTACTAAAAGAGACACTCTCTTGAGGGAATTGAGCTCCTGGCTTCCTAATTCTCAGTTTTCTAAACACACAGATGAATATAAACAAAGTCAATGATAAGATTCCTGCCAGAAGAAAAAAATACAAATTCAGTTGACCATAGTTGATGTTGCCGACATCGTAATCTTTGGGAAGCCAAACCTTTTTGAAGGCAAAGAGAAGCCCTGTCCCGAGAAAGCTTCCTAAGCCAGTAGAAAAACAGAAAAATCCCATGATAGTACTCTGCATTGTGGTAGGAGCCTGGGAATAGGCAAATTCCAACCCTATTTTGGAGAAAGTAATCTTAAATTAATAAAGAATGTTTCATAAAATTTTCTGAAATTCATTTGATATTATTCCACTTCAAAAATTCCACAAAATAATAATAACTTCAAATCTCAGCCTTTTTTAAAAGGCAAATTTTTCTGTGTTTGTGATAATAATAACACTGCACATTGGCAGGACAGTAACCTTAATTTTATTAAGACTAAGATGGAATCCAATAGTAATTGCATAATAGATATTACATAATTCAAACAATGCTATTCAAAGTAGGATGAAATACAATTCTACTTGCATAAAAAAATATGACAATAATATGTGTTGTGGATATACAAGAATAGGTGACTGTTGCTGGTTATATGATTGATGGCCGTCACTAAAAGCTGCTCGACTCTGGTATTGAGTAGCTCTTCACCCACTAAGCCTACACTTTCCATCTGTAGCAAAATGTTCAAGAGAATACATCCCATTCATCCTTGTAACTTACTTAAACTTTCCTGGACTTACAATGCACTTTTCCCACTTAGCAAACAACTGTTGTTTGGTCTGTTTAAGTCAGAAATTACATGTAATTTTCAAATTTATAAATATGTAATTTTTTTTTTTTCAAATTATTAAATATCTACTGTTACTAAAATTTTTGTTTGATTGGTAACTTTTTTTTAAAATCAAAAACAGGCTAATCCATCAGAAACCCAGTATATCAATACGTGTGCATGATGTAAATTAAGATGTCCAACTATTTAGTCTTGTATTGATAATAATTATAATCTATATGATTTTTTACTGGGATTTAAACAGTTACTTTTAATGCAAATTTTAATTGATACAAGATGAAACAACCGTCCTTCACAAAATGACTAAGATTGCCTGCTAGGAACTCCACGGCTTTTTTTCTTGGTACCATTGGAAAGGGTTAGACAATTACAAATAAATAAAATAACTGTAAACTCCAGAGTATCTTACAAGTTGTTTTATTTGCTTAACGTTTCAGCTTTAAGCCTTCATCAAGAGCATACGAAGGCATAAAGCTGAAAAGTTGAGTAAATAAAACAACTCTTAAGATTCTCTGAAATTCACAGTTGTTTTATTTATTTGTAATTAATTGTTCTATGCTCCAGTTGCATTTTGTAAATTTAAAAAATAAAGTGTTCCAAATGTTGGGCCACCCGTGTGGTTGTTTTGATTTTTTCCATATCTGTAGATTTTATGTTTGTGTCGCATATATTGTAGTTAATCGTATTACTTTTAGTTTTGTAATACTGTGGAAGAAGTCACTGTAAGAAATACACATGTATATATTTGCAATATGTAGTAATTTATTATAGCGAAAAAAAAATTATTTTTCCATACTTTTCTCACACCTACTAATTTGAAACTAGTACAACAAAAACATTTTACATTCCTGTAGTTTGTGCTACTGCCACAAGACAAGGCTTGGAATACAAAAGAAGTAAATATATTCAGATAAAATAAATTATCATTAAGCAATAATTAAATGCAAGATTTTTTTTATAATGTTATGAATATACAATACCTGCAATACTTGCAAAGACCTCACTGAGACCAATTAAAGCATATTGAGGAATCTGCCAAAACACCCACAGGTCTGCAGCATAATAGGTTGTGTTCCCTATAATTTGGACAACTGTCTCATTTCTGAAAACAAAAGAGGTTAGAGTCACAAGAATTCTACCTAAATATAACTGTGTAAGTAGGATTGTTTTAATATATAAGAAAAATATTTTAATTTGCTGCATCACAAAGATTTCTAATAAAATTATTTTTCGAACTTCTAATCCACAATCATAAATTTTAAAGGACAACTGCCCCCCACTTTCTATGTGATGTTTCTATATGCTTATTATCAGGTTAAATCTGTCATTCCCTGAAAAGGTTTAAAAATTAAAATAGGCAAACAAAGTAGTAACAAAATAAAACATTAACTCATTCACAATATAAAAACTGTGAAAGAATAATAACTACCTGTTTTGAACTAAATCAAGACGGTACGTTTCTAAAGCACCAGCAACAAGCATTGACATCACAGCAAAAGCCATTCCTAAAATTATCCGAACCAGCAAAGGTATCGGACAGTTTTTCCGATCTAAAAAGGGGTAGATTAGCCGATCTAACAGAGGTATGAAGATCAAAAGAAAGATGACATCAAAGATGGTCAACCAAGCTGCAGGAATCTAAAGAAGAAAACAACAATAACAAAAAAAAGAGGCATTATTTCTTAACCCTTATAATGGGGTCATGTGTTTTACACAGCCTTTAATCACCAGATAACCATGTTATACATATTATAATACTAAAAGTACTCAATGTATTTTCACAACAATTGGCAAGCTTTCAGTAAACATCAAAAGTGATTTGTAGGCAAAAAAAAACAAAATTTTTAGTTTAGTATTTTTACTAAAACTTTATCTGTAACTGTATGGAATCAGTGTGTTCATAGTGCAAAGTCATTAAGATTAAAACTTCTTTTCTTCATCTGAAAATTTTAAATTTAATTTACGTAATCCCTAAAAAACCCTAAATAAATAGGAAACGTTTTTTCCCAGAAAACTTTATTATTCTATCTGTTATTTTCTATATTATAACTCTATACATGATTGGTTGATTTGACCAAAATTAAATTACCCATTTTTCTTCATAGAATGACTGCAAATTGTAATAGGGAACCAAAATTGTTTATCCTAAAAAAGCCTAAAGTTCTTAACAGTATATGTCTATATATATTTAGTTTTATTGCCCTTTGAATCATGTCTAATTAATAATCACACCACACAAGCTGTAAATCACTTGGTGAACATGTAACTCACATTAACATTTCAAATTACTTAACATGAGTTTCTTGCAAGCATATCTCACAAGGAATTTTTACTATTGTGATTCTTTTTTTAGTATCTTATTTAACCTCTCTGCACAGGCATCCTTTACTACACATGTCATGAGGTTTTTAGTTACTTACATTCAAAATTTAATTACACTACTTTTTATTCATGTTATACCAATTAGTATAGGATAAAATAGAAGCTAATAATCCATATTTTAACAGTATGCAAGTTTTAAATTCTTAATTTTATAAGGCAATATTTATAAAAATCATGAATTTCCCCTAGTGTGAGAAATGTGACATTTTCTCTAGGCCTCCCCTCTTCTGTAATTTATTCACCACCCCTCCATTGAAATTTAATGTAAATTACTCACTATCAAATCGTCATTGCTCAGACAAAGCATAATTTTTATAGCCTTCAATCCTGTTTGGTTACAGAGCCATCATATAGAAAATCAGACCCCTCTTGCCACACCCACTTGTCACATCCTCTCTCTTTGAGGATTTGTTAATACTTCTCTACTACATTCAATATTATATTGTTTATAACCAATAGAAAGCCACGGTTTTCATTTATCACATAACATATTATATTACAGAAAATTGTCCATTTCTCTTTTAGTATATGTAGAGGGTTAAACACCATCCCCATTATGGTTGCAAATCTTCCTGTCATTACAGCATGTAGTTCAGACTTTGTCAACAGAGGGAGACAAGGTTTAATCTACAATGAAGCCTCAGTTTCATATTTTACAAAATCCCAGCCTATTAGGTTTCCACACCATTGCATAATTCCATAAAAAAATGTCACAAAGGCAACAAATGTAACCATACTGACATTAATGTTGACAATTGATTTTATTGCCAAAGTAGCACCATTTGCTGTTGCCTTCAAGGCATTAGCTACTGTACCTTTAGTGATTACGATGTTGTGTGCCTTAGTTTTGCTTTCCTCCGTTTCTGGGTAGAATAACTTAAGTAAGCCAAGGCTGAAGGGGCAAACATAACTGAAGCTGACAGTAAATGACTAGCACTAACCCCAAATATGTTAATGTAGAGAGTTAAAAACTATCCCCACAATGGTTGCAAGTCCTCCTGTCATCACATCGTATAGTTCAGATTTTGTCAATAGCAGGATACAATGTTTAATCATCAGTGGAACCTCATACTCATACATATATCACATTATTCCTTAAACACACAAACACACACATATATAATATATATATACACACACACACAAACACTTCACATTATTCTGTATTTTATGTTTTAACTCTTTCCATCGAAAGTAAAATTGTGTATGCCATGACCATCTGCAGTGTTAAAGTCACAATATAATTAACTACTTCCAAACAAATTTGGTCAAAGTTCAACCCAACTTATAACTATTAAACTATATCTACTAAAACTCTGAAAGTACTAAGTGTATCTTATAAAATTTGGTAAACTTTTAAAGCAAGTATTAGAAGTCTATTGTACACAAAAAGTCAGGTTTTATATGAAATATTTTTACCAAAGACTTGTCTTTGAATTTATACAGCCTTTATCGAGTCAACCTGAATGGAAAGTAATATTCATGTTAAGAATAAAAATATCTATTTTAATTTTACAGTGTTTTTTTTTAATTAATTACATTATTTCTAGAGCATCCCAAATGAATATGACAATTTTTTGTGTGGAACTTTCTATTTTATATCTTTTCTTTAACCTAATACTAACTGCATTGAAATAATCAATGCACATAAAATAAAAATCTCACAAATATGGAAAACAAATGAATAATACTATTTTTCTAGTGACTGCAGACTGTAACAGACAATTACAATTGTTTATCTTAATAGCATCAGCTTCTAATCTTTTTACACCTGCTTTCTTTTATTTAGTTCTATGGTTTATTGCTATAGTTTTGGACCCATTACTGCTTGTGAAAAGCAATGCATCACAACAGGAGCCCATTTAGAGCTTAGGGCAAACAAATAACAGGTTACAGGCATGCACGTACAATGAGCTTGCCTTCCCCATTGACTAAGCTCATGAAATTTTAAACATATTATTATTTTAAGCTTCATTACTTAACAAAAGAAGGTTAACATTTTCCTACACCAAAAATGTATCTCTGAGAGATACTTACCTCTTCTCATATAATAGCTTTTCTTGATTTGTGCTGCCCCCTATATACACAAGTTTCATTCACCACTAGCCTTGAGGCTCCACCTAACATCACATTTTTACATGTGGTATAGCTGCAGTGTAGCATGCAAATGAGCATTTGACCACGCTCCAATAATAGGAGTGCAACACACCCTCCTAGCACAATCGTCACTTCCAGATTAGGCAAAAGAAAAGGATAAGTATCTATTGGAAATACATTTTCAGTGATATGATATGTATAGGGTCACACTTATGGGAGACCACACCCCATCTGTACCAGGTATACTGTTCACCCATTGTAAAGATAACATGTTGCTAAATCGGATGGAAAAGATGCTAGTACAATCAGTAATAGAATGTGCCAGATGGTGTAGAGTGGTGAGGGCACATCAGGCTGTATTCAGTGGGTCAACTCTAGTCCAAAACCAGGTGGCATCAGGTATTTGTCTTCTTGTCCACAGTAGGAGGAGGGTCCCAACTATCTTCACCTAAAACCCAGGAAGCAGAAGGGAAAAACAACTTCTGTTCTGACAACAGAAGTAAGGACACGTGTAGACCCAATACACAATCAATACCAGGCTACCCATGAACCTGACATCCAGACAACATTAGAAAGGGGGAATGCACATGTGGTGGGTCAACTCCAGTCCAAAACCAGGCAGCATCAAAAATTTTTTGTTCAGTCTGCAATAGGAGTAGGGCCCCTACAAACCATATGTGTTAGAACTTATGTTGGCTGGTCCTACACCGATTCAACAACAGACTGCCCAGGAACTAGCAATCAGGCAGTAGTAGAATGGGGGAAAACCAGCCAGAGGGGTAAACTGCATGTGGTGGATTCGTCCAGTCCAAAAACAGGTGGCATCAGGAACTTGTCTTCTGGTCCATGGCAGAAGGAGAGTACTCACCATCTACACTAACAGAACACCATCAACCTACTCTCAACTAAGTGGAATTGGTCATACTCAGGAGGAGGTCTCTATGGTCCACCATCTCAGTAGCTAGGAACTGGTAAATGGCAAAAACTCTCATATTCCATTGGAAGAGAGAAGGAATAGCACAGTGGGGAGTCTGGAGGAACACAATACCAAAAGACAATGCATGAAAACCCTATTTTGAAAAGTAGGCCAGTCCCAGTTTATTCAACTAGGACTAGAGGGATGGGCACAGTCTGATATGGACCTTATATATATGAAGCAAGAAACTGTGAGGAACCCTGTAGCAGCCTTTTGAAATACTCTTATTTCATCAATAAGCATTATAGACCTGTAAGATCATATGGTTCAGACTTAAAGTTAAGTATACCAGAATAGGCACCAGTTGCCATTGAGTAGGATCCAGAAATGTAGAAATAGGCCATTGTAAAGATAAGATACATAAAAAGAGAACTTACCCATTCAGAGAAAGTAAGGGGTATGTAGAATGACGACAGGAGAAAGTCGTTATCTGGAAGAAGAATAGATGGCCAGAAGATCAAGAAAAGGTGTGACCAAACTAAGTAGGGCAGTCCACATGCCAGTTTGCACAAACTCCTCCAACAGATGATGGAGGTGAAGAGCCAGAGAAAAAAGTATCAAATTTGGTGAGTAGGCTTGAAAGAGTCAATGTGAATCTATATGTGGATGAGGTGCTGTAGCCATCCCTTGAGAGTAATGATGCGAATTCACGTAAGAATCAAGACATTCCCCATCTTATCAAGGTGGCATCTGGAAACAGAAGGAGACCCAAATGAGAGGAAGAGGAATACCCACTATGGGAGTAGTCTAACCAAGTCACCAGGTGAAGACTTTGAGTAAAAAAGGAGAAAAGAGAATTTTTGTGAACAACAAATCCCAAGCAAGGATCTAAAGAATGTGCAGTCCATTGTAGCCATCACAATTAAACATGGCATAAGGGGATACAGGATTCCATGGAAGCCCATGTCCCCAAAAGAGAGATAACCAACCACACAGTGAGGGAAGATGATGATATAGCATGGGAAACCAATTGCTCCATGTCCATCAAATAAAGAGTAGAAGGCCAGGCCCTGCAGCCATATGAACAAAATAAAGCACTCAAGTGAATGAGAAAAGAAATGGATGTGAGAGGAGACTCCTCCAAGATGAAACAACCAGCCCAGATGTACCACTTCCCAAAGGAGGCTTGTAAGGACACAACCAAATAAGAAAAGCATCTGAGATATCCACCTCAGTCATTCTA